CTCCACATTATGCACTATATTTAGCTTTTAACAAAACGATAATACATTTAAATTTGGAACTGTTACAGCCATTTTAATTATGAGCATTAGCAAACTTCTTACTGAGTGATTTGTTATGCAAATTAGCAATTATCTCAGCTTCTTTTTAGTGTACATCCCAGAACTTTAAAAAAATAGCTCCTAGACGCTTTGACCTTTTGTTTTGAAATTTTCACAAATGTGTTTATCGTCAAAACGCCGTCGGGACAATGTTTTGGGTTGAACAGTGTTATAACAATCGTACAGACAACTAGCCTGGGTGTTAATTTATGCATAAACTTGAAGTAGTAAAATTTGAGCTGCTGCCCTGCAAAATTGACAACTGCTAGACAGTTTTCAAGACGGCACTTACTTCATAGTAAACAGATGTACCCATAAACTAATTTTGACAGGGAACAGAAGCATGGTTTAGGATTTTTTTTAAATCACTTTTGACCAAAAAAACACATTTTTGTGCATATTTCAAACTACAGTGTCCATAAAAAATACAAACACAATTTTATAATTCATACAATAAGCTTTCCGAAAATATATAGTTTTGTGGACAAGCGAGGCCATCTTGGTTTCCTAATTAACTCATTAAAATACCTGTCGGGTAAACTGCATCTCTACCTTAAGTGATTTTTATTTGCTTCAAGATACCCACACAATTGCGTCAGATGAGCAATGAAATGGCAAGTTGTGTGGAGGGGTCCCATGTTCTTTTTTCATGGGACTACGCGTTCCGCTGTCATATTAATCAATTCTAAAAACAATGTTACAGTACTGAGCTGCAGCAGCGATGTAGTTCCTGGCCGGTTATTACATATTCACTTTGAAGGTTGAAGACTCTCCTCTTCATCTGATCAACGTTTACTCCCCAATCGATGGTGTGGCTTGCTTTTTTCAAGGTATTAATACAATTTCTAAATAGTCTAAATCAAGATCCAGTCATTATAGGAGGAAACTATAATTAGACTGCAAACCCTGTTATGGACAGATTAGACAGCGGATGGAGGATGTGGTTCGGGGCTATTTGTTTTTATCAAATACTGTAAGGCGCTTCAAACTTATTGACTCATGGCGTTATTTCAATACCATATCACGGGAATACACAAGAAATCAAAATAAATTCCGTATTGACACTTTTTATCTAAATCTTTTGCTGCCAGAATTAAAGTTGCATCTATTCAGCCTCATCACGATTTTTCTGATCATTGCCTTGTCAAGCTTCGTCTATCGTTTAAGCAGATCAGCAACCATAAACCGATATGATGCTTCAATTTGAACCTGCTACATGACGACGAATACTGTCAAATACTTAATGATTAGTGGTTGTCATGGCGTTTTGACTCAGTTCAAATGTGGTGGGATGTCGGTATACATAAAATACTAGAGTTAACTAAACAATATAGTGCAAAGCTCACCCATAGTTACAAACAAATCAAGCACACACTCTGTAAAGAAATCAATGAACTAGAACGAGTACATGAACCAAGTAACTTAGTCGCTGTACAACTTAATGAAAAAAGACGCTATTTGGTGACTTAATAAAAAAAAATACAAAGGGGCAGCTATTAGGGCTCGCCACAAAATCCTGAACGAAAATAACCCACCAACTGCCTTGTTCTTTAAAATTGAAAAACACAATGAGAACAAAAAGATTTTATCCCAACTACAAAAGCCAGACGGTACAACCACTGACTCCTAGGCCGAAATACGCCTGTTAACTAAGCAATTTTATACAGATATCTTCTCCCCTAATCCGGTATATCATTTTAGATGATCTCCCTCAACTTGAAAACGCCTTGAAAGAGGATGGTGATGCTCTTTTGTCATATGATGAGCTTTCTGTGGCCGTTAAAATGTTGTAGATCTCCAGGCATTGATGGAATACCCGGTGAGTTTTACAGGCAGTTCTGGTCTCTTCTGGGTCCTGATCTCCACCGAGTTATCTCTCGAGGACAATCAGCTTCTTCTGTCATGTCGGCGTCCAGTGATTACGCTTCTACCTAAGAAGGGCAACAACTATTTATTTAAAAAGACCAGTGAGTCTTCTATTGACTACAAGATTTTACTGAAAGCACTCTCAGTCAGGCTAAGATCCGCAATTGGTAACATCATTCATGATGATCAAACATACTCCATACCTGGTAGGCAAATTTTCGACAACATAAACCTAGTGCTCGACCTAATTACGTAATCTAACCACAATAACATTCAGCTCGGCATTGTCGCACTGGATCAAGAGAAAGCCTTTGATCATTTGATTGTTATCTTTTTAAAACACTTGAAGCATTTAGTTTTGGCAATATTTTTTTAAAATATATGAAACTGATATACACTGGCACATATAGTCTTGTACACATCAATATTATACCCTTACATGCCCTATACCGGTTTTTACGTGGCATACGCCAAGGTTGTTCACTCTCCGGTCAACCTTATACTATTGCAATAGAACAACTTCTGCATAAAAAGTAAGAGCGATATACATGGTGATGAAGTAAAATACTCTGGTGGAGAACACGTGAATCTCGCCGCTTATGTAGATGATATCAGCTTCTTTCTTACCCAGCAGTGAGACTATTCTAAACTTGGGAAATGACTGCGAATTTATGAAGCGTGTGAACTACACAAAGGATTATGGGTTGGGTATCGATTGGAACATTCCTTGGCAATAAACCGGAATACATAGCTAAAAACTGGGATGACATTAAAAAAAGGTTAAAACAAGGCTTGAATGGCAGACCAAGTATGCACCAGCAATGTCATATAAAGGGCCCGGGGGTTACTCTATATTAAAAGCGTACACCATGGGCGTTCTTGCTAAAAACTGTGTGCTGGCAGCACATTGGCAAACCATACCCCCTGACGCGCGCACGGACGCACTGTAAAATCAGTACCCCTTAGAGCAGACAAATTGAAGAAAAAAACACCCCCTATTGCAGACATATATATTGATGACTTCCTACTTCTATTGCGAGCATTCTCTGTCGTTTCTTTTTCACTCAAGTGGAGTGTGATCAACTCAAACAAGCCACTGTGTATGCAACACCTGTTTGATTAAGACAAATGAGAACTATTGACAGGGTTCGGCGGGCGTTTGGGGCTTGGTCGGGGCTGTGGGTTCGCCAATTCGGGGCCTAGGGGGTCTATGGGAATGGTTGTTGCACGTGAGCCCAGCAACCCTATAAGTTTATTTCCGGAGGCCTGTTGCAGACATTAGAATTTTAAAGGGGCCCATTTGCCCGCGCGGGTGAAAAACACGCCCTTTTCCCGCTAAATTTGAAACGCACATGGGGTAGTAACGGCATATCAGGCATATGCCCCCCCCCCCCGGGATAAAGGGCGCACCCTAGTTATAATTCAGCTCGTCGCTTCAAAGTTATTACACCAGTTTATGTGTCTGTGTCCGCCGAAACATATCGTTGACTACATGCAGATTTTTTTTCTTGAGTTCTTTTTGCAGGGACACACTGGATCCCAGCGGAATTACTTTATATGTCAAACCATGCGGGTGGACGATTTCAAGGACTGCTATCTCACTCTGATCACTAAGAAAGACGGTGACCTAGAATGGCGCCTACTGCATGGCGGATACCCCACGGGTGGCTTTTTGCTTAAGTCCAAAATACGTAACACAGATGATTGTTTCTTTTGTCATGAAACCGACGACCTGGCTCACATTTTCATCAAGTGCCGATGTGAACGTCTAGCAAATAATCGCATTTTTTAGTTATTCGCTCCTTTCAAGCAGTGTTTTTAATTACATTCTGTACATATCTTTATTAATGCAATGTTACTTGCCTTTTAAACTTGCGAATACAAAATATCCTGTTATTAATGTAAATAATGGTTTATGAAGATTATTGCTTGTATAAAAACACCATATGCGAACAATCGGAACATTCATTCAAAACAACTAATTCCATGTCAAACTGCTTTCCCGTGCGTTTCATTGTAGGATTAAAGATGTACATATATACATGTGCTGCAGGGTGACGGCATTCGTTGAATTCGAACATATAAACACACAATATCAGAACTGTAATCAGTCGCTAACCACTCTAGATCTGCGCCACAGCAACCATCTCAATCAAGACGAACCTAACAAGCATTTCATACACTGTGTGCGGATATGGAAGCCGAGTACTTAAGTGTGACTGATACAGGTACGATTAACATCAGCTCAAGTACATATCAACTAACAGTGACACCTGGATAGAACTGGTTCAAATTAAAGTCACATTACGAACATATCAAAGGCGGCGGCATGAAATTCTGCATTAGGGTCGAGATCTAAAATCTGAGACTTTAAGTTCCATATTATTACGCTTCATCCAACGAGTACTAACGATCTGAAAAAAAAAATTGATAAACATCAGAAAATAATTGATTGTGAGTGTAAGTCGAAGTAACATAGACGCTGTCTTGGGAATAGGATGAAAGTAGAAATTTTAGTATAACGCCATGTAAAAGAATTTTCAATAAAATATGAAGCAATCGTGACATGATATTTGTGTAAAAGTCAAACATTGTTCGATGTATTTCTGAATGGTTGCAAAAATGATACATCATATTTTGAATAATATAATATGCATAACAATTTGATAAATTTCTGAACAAGAAATGTTTGTGAAAGAGACCACACCCGGGATTTGCTTATATATACCCACTCTAAATTATAGTCGCAACATGTTAATGAATTGAATACAATGTAACCTGTTCATTAGACTATGAGTGTGTGAGATGTTAGTATAGTGGCAATGAATGGTTCGGAATGACCTGTGAGCGTCTGCATTCAATATGAAATGGCGTTTTAAAGCTATTTATATCAGTTTAGTCAACCAAAACCTCACGACTCGTTTGGTTTTAATACCAATGTGATTACCGAACTGCTTTGACCCCGCCCCTGAATATATAGTTTCCCTATTATATATAAACTAGGCGTACCACATGTAGTTTGCAAAAGTACAACGATGTTCAGACAAGCAGTATATCTTTTGGTGTTAGTGGCACACTTCCCTACAGCAGAGTGTTTCTACGCTATCATTGGAAGTGATGGTTATTATGACAACACACACAAAAGCATAACCGAGACATCATGTTTAATGGTGGTAGCCAAGTTTCTTGAAAGTATTACTGGTAAATTGTTGGGGCCCGGTGATCTACAAAATCTGGACCCCTTGACTTCATCAACTTTAATGGAAGCCTATTACGGAAGTAAGTATGAATTTGTGTATGTGGACGATGATTGTTTTTACACAGTATGACGATCTACCACAATCGTCTGCAATGTCAAGCATTCAATCCTTGTCAATTAGTTCACTTACAATTCGTAAAATAGTCTCTTAACCATTTCTTTATAACATCTGTTTCATTGAATTATTGTGAGCTAAATTGTTTAGCAAGAATGCAACGATTCCGTAATAATTGTTTTTGTTTCTCATTTTGTCTATGTTTGGCACCTAGCGTTTCAGACAAAGCTTTGTATTTGCACATTTGACATTTTAGACTCCCATTTCAACTCTGGCTTGTACGTTTTGTATTGTCACCACGTTTTGCATATTTTTATTTTAGACTTGCACATTTGGTATTTTAGTTTTTGTGCATCACTATTGTAGAAGGAATTACAATTGTATTATCGGTTATATTTTGTTTGCAACTTTTAACGTATGAAATAAAATATACAATATATCAAATACAATACCTTTCTTGTTAGATTTAAGGATCACAGATTAATTGCAAATAGTTTTAAATTACCGATCATTTATGTAGATTTGGCTATGATTGATTTGTTGGTATCTTAGGGCGTCACCAAATCAATCAAGTTCTTTTTAATAATTCTGAACACATCTCCTCTTATGCTAATATTCTACCTTACGTTCCTTTTAACCGATTATATATTATATGATATCATAACAGCTTTTGTCACTTCGCCCAGTGAACAAAAAAACTGTTCAGTAAGGCTGAATCTGGCCCATGACTCACGGCTAACACATGTTAAATACTTAATTTTAACATTTTTAAGTAATTTAAAAAAGACAATAGAATTGTAATTTTATGCTAAATGATAGTACAATGTACAAGAAAGCATAATAAGAACATCAAATATGTATAATATTCTCCAATTGCAGCATGGTAATGAAGAATTTTTAATGTGATCATTTAATATGTGAATGTCAGTCTTGACAATCAACTTGCAGTATGTTGTTCCTTGTATTAGCTTTGGGAATTATTTCACTAGCATTTAATAAATCACAGTTTATTAGGAGAGAATTGTTATGTCTGCAACACACAATTAAGGTAGCGAGAAAGGATATTCCATTTTTTTCTTCATTTTAAAAATAATAATAAAACGGTTGCTTTAGACCTCGATACGTCATACCAGTTTTTCAAAAGATCGAAATTTCGGAAAGACGCTGCTAAAATTAGTGTTTTAAACGCTAACACAGATAA